CACTGTTCTAAAAATCCAGCCGGCCTGTTTTAGTATTTTGCACTGCCTTGAGATGCTACCACAGGGAAGGCGATGGTCCTCCTGTCTCGTCTTTCCTTGGCGGAGCATCTGACCAGCAGCTGTTGGAGGCAGCGTCCCAAACTCGCTGGTTTGATCTGGCCAGGCTCATCTCAATCCTGGGCAGGGGAGGGCAGTGAAACGAGCAGGGAGCCTCCGTTTCTCTGGCTAAGCCAGCCCGACGCAGACGGTGTTGCACAAGCCGGTCTCCGCGTCTGGGGCACCCGAGGAGTACGAGCTCCCTCCGCACCCACAGAGGCCAAGGGGAGAGCTCTCACTGCCATTGTTTATACAAAATCTCCGACCGGCAGCAAACGCCTGGAAGTGCAGACACACAGACTCATTCAGCCGAAGTCTCTGCCTCGGAGAAAGAGCCTCTATTCCAGTGAGGGGAGGGAGCCCCGGCCCAGCGTGCTACTGTAAACACAGCTCGTATTATCATTTCTGGAGAAAAGCGTTCCAGTCGCTTGGAGCTGCAGCGCTCGGGGCCGGGCGCACAACCGGATTTCCCAACGAGATCTGGAAACGGTGAATGAAAAGAAAAATCACCCAGACTCTCGAATGCCACAGGTACAACGATCTGGAATCAATCCCCACCCTGTCCTGCACTGAGGTCCTGTTTTTTTTTTTTTAATCCAATTTCGGGTGTCAAGATGCATGGGAAGTGGGATGTGCCCATAAAAGGCCCTTGCGCTCTGTGGGATATTTTTTAAGACCTTCTTTGCAGGTATTCAGTCTCTCCCCTGATGTTCCCTAGACCTGTAGTGATGACAGGGGTTGCATGTCCCAATGAGGATGTGAGAGAGACCGTCAGGAATGCAGACTCCCGGGAGGATCACCCATGACAGGGGGTCACAGATGAGGGATCAGACTAAATATGATCCACTGGAGAAGGAAGGGCAACCCATTCCACTCTTCCAAAAAGAATGGGCATTCACAACCAGGACGTGTCCACACGATAGGGAAGACTTAGATAGGGCT